GGGGGATCCGTTACGCTCGCCATACACGGTACAATCTGATTGTACAATCTCCATTAGATCTGCCTACAGCTATGTAGGTCAAGGGCAGTGGTGTCACAAGGGGAGTGCCGCACGCACCCGGGTGACACCATTGGAGGGGTGACGCCAAAATGACTGACAGCCATTTTGGTGTCACCCCCCTCTAAAAAGTCGGGCGCTCGGTCATGGGCCGAGAGCCCGACAGTGTCAGGAGAGAGGAGGGGACACGGCGGCATACCTCATCCCGCCAGGTGAATGTCCTCTCCTCTCTCTGCCAGCGTCCATCACCAAGATGGCCGCCGGCAGGCATCGACGCAAGCGTGATTATGCCATTGCACACACACCTGGTGATGTCATGCGCATGCCCGATGACAGACTGGATGCAGACTGATTGGCTGTTTAGATTGTATGGTGTAGTGCCAGCTTAAGAGAGGTGCCCCCACTAACTGACTCGGTGACAACGGTTTCACCAGACAGGAAGTGAGGGATAGCCAGTGTCACATACACAGAAGGTTTCAAACCCCTCCCCTACTCTACAGGGTTGTTGTTGTAAATACAAGCAGTGGTGTCATTACCGGATTGTGACCCGCTATCGGCCTCTTGTAGTCCCTGGACAGCACAGAGCTGGAGGGTGAGAGGAAGAATCAGCACAAGAAGCCGATAGGTTCATATGCTGACAAGAAGCATGCTGAGAGAAGGAGAGAGCAGAGTGACAGAGAGATGAGCTCATAACTGTGCTTCATCAGCTTTCATTGTCCAGTGACAGGTGGGAATGGACATTAGACTTTTTTGTTTTGTTTCAGCACGGCTGGAGTGCCAAAGTTACGGTCTACGCCTTCCTTACTCTGTCCAAAACTAAAAGGGTTTGCCTAAAGAGACACTGTAATCACAATGCATGGTGCTGCCGCTCTAACATGTTTCAGACACTGGGGGCGAGAGGTGTTTAGATTCCCCCAGTGTTCACAGTACACGGGAGGCAGCAGGTGACACAGGAAGAGAGAATTTATTTTTCGGAACAGCTGAAAATGGAAGGGTTAAGTGTCCAGCCCGCCCCCGCCCCCCTGCAGACAGCCCCGCCCCCTTTCTGTGAACAGGTGAAACCGGTGCAGGTAGATAATCTGCGGGGCGGAAGCTGCTCTCAGATGGTATCTGGAAGGGCAGGCTACAAGACAAGGAAGGGATTGTCCACTCCGGGCTCAGGTACGTCACAACCTGCTCCACCACCTCCCCCTTTCAAATTTCGAGGGGAGCTCCTGACACCCCGACTCCCCACCACTTCCTGTGACAACATGACGGCGGACTCCCGTCTGTCATCGAAGGGGCAATATTTCTGGAGCGCTTCGATGGCCTTATGATCCGACCGGCTCCGTTATTTTCCCTTTTTAATAATTAATCGTCTTCTGGTATCTACGCCGGCCTCAGCTGACCTCCCCGGGGTATGTAAGGAGACCCCCCCTCGTCTGATCCCTCACGTTAAACGTTAACGATTGAAAGCCGTTTTGGGAGAGTTTCGCTGAATCAGATATTAGCCGGCGTACGGAGCGACCGGTAATTCCGGTTTATTAGTCAGGCCGTGCGAGACGGTGTAGAATTTGTGACGCCGTCCCTTTAAAGTGTACGTCCGGATGGAGCGCGGGAGGGTTAGGACCCGTGTCGGGTTTTACCGCTGTCCGGGGGATCCGTTACGCTCGCCATACACGGTACAATCTGATTGTACAATCTCCATTAGATCTGCCTACAGCTATGTAGGTCAAGGGCAGTGGTGTCACAAGGGGAGTGCCGCACGCACCCGGGTGACACCATTGGAGGGGTGACGCCAAAATGACTGACAGCCATTTTGGTGTCACCCCCCTCTAAAAAGTCGGGCGCTCGGTCATGGGCCGAGAGCCCGACAGTGTCAGGAGAGAGGAGGGGACACGGCGGCATACCTCATCCCGCCAGGTGAATGTCCTCTCCTCTCTCTGCCAGCGTCCATCACCAAGATGGCCGCCGGCAGGCATCGACGCAAGCGTGATTATGCCATTGCACACACACCTGGTGATGTCATGCGCATGCCCGATGACAGACTGGATGCAGACTGATTGGCTGTTTAGATTGTATGGTGTAGTGCCAGCTTAAGAGAGGTGCCCCCACTAACTGACTCGGTGACAACGGTTTCACCAGACAGGAAGTGAGGGATAGCCAGTGTCACATACACAGAAGGTTTCAAACCCCTCCCCTACTCTACAGGGTTGTTGTTGTAAATACAAGCAGTGGTGTCATTACCGGATTGTGACCCGCTATCGGCCTCTTGTAGTCCCTGGACAGCACAGAGCTGGAGGGTGAGAGGAAGAATCAGCACAAGAAGCCGATAGGTTCATATGCTGACAAGAAGCATGCTGAGAGAAGGAGAGAGCAGAGTGACAGAGAGATGAGCTCATAACTGTGCTTCATCAGCTTTCATTGTCCAGTGACAGGTGGG